GAATCGTTCATTTATCCGCGTTAATTTGATGAATAAATTAAATATTGATCGGTCTTCAATCTTCGGTACTGACTGATTCTCTAATTTCTTTATGAGAGAATAAAAATTGATACGAATTGTTTTTTTATCCGACTTAATTTGTTGAGTAAATTAGTGGGGTAAGTACCTGCAAGATGAAAACAACTTGTCATTGCACTTGGACAATTTTCTTGACATTGATTTATGGTATTGATCAGTCTTCGGATTTCGGTTTACTGATTTATCTCATTTTTTTTATAAGACAAAAAAATTGATACGAATCGTTCGTTTATCCGAGTTAATTTGTTGAATAAGATTAGAGGGGTAAGTACCTGAAAAATGAGAACAAATTGTCATTGCACTTGGACAATTTTCTGACACTGATTTACGGTATTGATTGATATTCGATTTTCGGTACTGATTTACTCTTTCATTTCTCTATAAGGAAAAAGAAAATTCATACGAATCGTTCATTTAGCCGCGTTAATTTGATGAATAAATTAAATATTGATCGGTCTTCAATTTTCGGTACTGACTGATTCTCTAATTTCTTTATGAGAGAATAAAAATTGATACGAATCGTTCTTTTATCCGACTTAATTTGTTGAGTAAATTAGTGGGGTAAGTACCTGCAAGATGAAAACAACTTGTTATTGCACTTGGACAATTTTCTTGACATTGATTTATGGTATTGATCTTTCGGTACTAATTTATTTTCTCATTTTTTTATAAGACAAAAAAAATTCATACGAATCGTTCGTTTATCCGAGTTAATTTGTTGAATAAGATTAGAGTTGTAAGTACCTGAAAGATGAGAACAAACTGTCATTGCACTTGGATAATTTTTTGACACTGATTTATGGTATTAATCGATATTCGATTTTCGGTACTGATTTACTCTTTCATTTCTCTATAAGAAAAAAAAATTCATACGAATCGTTCATTTATCCACGTTAATTTGATGGATAAATTAAATATTGATCAGTCTTCAATTTTCGGTACTGATTTATTTTCTCATTTTTTTATAAGACAAGAAAAATTGATACGAATCGTTCGTTTGTCTGAGTTAATTTGATGAATAAGTTAGATATTGATCGATCTTCGATTTCGGTACTGACTTACTCTTTCATTTCTGTATAAGAAGAGAAAAATTGATACGAATCGTTTGTTTATCCGAGTTAATTTGTTGAATAAGATTAGAGTGGTAAATACCTGAAAGATGAGAACAAACTGTCATTGCACTTGGATAATTTTTTGACATTGATTTATGGTATTAATCGATATTCGATTATCGGTACTGATTTATTCTTTTATTTCTCTGTAAGAAAACAGAAAATTAATACGAATCGTCCATTAATCCGCGTTAATTTGATGAATAAATTAGATATTAATCGACCTTCGATTTCCGGTACTGATTTATTCTCTCATTTCTTTATAAGAGAAGGAAAATTGGTACGAATCGTTCGTTTAACCGAGTTAATTTGTTCTGTAAATTACATTGATAACTACCTGAAAAATGAGAAATTGTCACTGAACAATTTTTCGACATTGATTTATGGTACTAATCGGTATTCGATTTTCGACACTGATTTACTCTTTCATTGCTTTATAAGAAAAGAAAAAATTGATACGAGTCGTGCATTTATCCGCGTTAATTTTTTTTTATTATATATAAGTGGTCCATGGGACGATTAAATATTCGAATACATGTTGCCGTATCAAAGTCTTCTCTATAATAAACGATTTGACACGTCTGGAGACACATGATGTATCGTAGCCCGCATCCCATTCCCTACGTTCTGCTTCCCTGTATAAAATGTCGAATTGAAACGTATTAAAAAGTATTGACATTTTGAAAATGTCTGAATTCTGAATCTTTTTGATCCGAAGAAAAGGATTGAAAAGTATTGGTTTCCATTAAATTTTATTGCGCTAAATGCGAGACGGTCTCTTTCGCCCGGGTGCCTCATTAGGGGAATTTCTCTGGTACGCTAAATCCCGTAAGGCCATCAGTCTTTGTAGTATATCTCGTCGGTGCATAAGGTTTATATTACCTGTACATACATATTTTGAAATATTTTTCTTGGATATTATATCAAACAAATTTTGCGTGTCACGTAATATCCTTCGGACTCCAGTAGAAGCGGAGATATCAACGGAGAAATGTTGGAAAACTTTAATCTTCGATATCTCCTAAACGGTTAGAGATACAGGCCTGGCTCTGGCACCAAATTAAAGTCCTCTCAAAACCCTACATTTTAGCCGTAAGTGGCGACTCTCTACTCCCAGTAGAAGCGGAGATATCAACGGAGAAAGGTTGGAAAAAACTTTAATCTTCGATATCTCCTAAACGGTTAGAGATACAGGCCTGGGTCTGGCACCAAAATAAAGTCCTCTCAAAACCCTACATTTTCGACTACATGCACGACTCTCTGCCGGTGTGAAGTTGGCTCCCCATTTTGTAGCACCGCAAGTTTTAACGATAGTTCCATTGGCACTCACAATAGTTCTGCAGTTCCTGGTAGGTTATACCAATAGTTCTGTCGAATTAATTATCAAAATGGCAGTTTGAAAATTTGAGGTGCTAACTTCCCGTAGCACCGCAACTTCCAAAAAAACCAATTTCAAACACGAGATTTTATAGTTCTAGAATAGTTCTATAGTTCCTGATATGTTTTAGGAATAGTTCCGGCTTCTAACCAATTTTTAACAATTTTTGAAACTCAGCGCCAGCACCACATCACAAGAGTAAAGTATCAGTTTGCTGGCAGTTCCAGCCGACTTCTGGGTTTCTTTTAGTAGTTCTACAATAGTTCCAACGATTTAGGTTGGTCCCGCCGCGGGTGCCGGCCATTAACTATTTTTAAATAATTTTTGAATCTCAGCGCCAGCACCGTATCACAAGAGTAAAGTATGTGTCTGCTGACAGTTCGAGCCGACTTCTGGTTTTCTTTTAGTAGTTCTACAATAGTTCCAACGCTTTAGGTTGGTCCCGCCGCGGGTGCCGGCCATTAACTATTTTTAAATAATTTTTTAATCCCAGCGGCAACACCGCATCACAAGAGTAAAGTATGTCTGCTGGTAGTTCCAGCCGACTTCTTGGTTTCTTTTATATACTATATATATACATATTAAACCTTAAATATAAGCATTTGCAGAATTATTATAAAATTATCATAAAAACAAAAAATAAATAAAAAGCAGAAAAAACAACACAAAAAAAATTATTTTCAATGAATAACTGACTCAAAAATATATATAAAACACATATACATTCACCAACACCTGCACGTACACGAGCGCAAGCGCCCGCGCAAACATCCACCCACTCACACAGACACACACACACACACACACACACACACACACACACTCACTCACACGCGCGCTCGCGCACGCACGCACGTACACAGACACACACGTACACTCACATGGCTAGAACTGCCAGCAAACTGATACTTTACTCTTGTGATGCGGTGCTGGCGCTGAGATTCAAAAATTATTTAAAAATAGTTAAAGGGCGGCTCCCGCAGCGGGACCAACCTAAAGCGTTGGAACTATTGTAGAACTACTAAAAGAAAACCAGAAGTCGGCTGGAACTGCCAGCAGACACATACTTTACTCTTGTGATGCGGTGCTGGCGCTGAGATTCAAAAATTATTTAAAAATAGTTAATGGCCGGCACCCGCGGCGGGACCAACCTAAAGCGTTGGAACTATTGTAGAACTATTAAAAGAAAACTAGAAGTCGGCTGGAACTGCCAGCAGACACATACTTTACTCTTGTGATGCGGTGCTGGCGCTGAGATTCAAAAATTATTTAAAAATAGTTAAAGGCCGGCACCCGCGGCGGGACCAATCTAAAGCGTTGGAACTATTGTAGAACTACTAAAAGAAACCCAGAAGTCGGCTGGAACTGCCAGCAAACTAATACTTTACTCTTGTGATGCGGTGCTGGCGCTGAGTTTCAAAAATTATTTAAAATTGGTTAGAAGCCAGAACTATTCCTAAAACATATCAGAAACTATAGAACTATTCTAGAACTATAAAATTTCGTGCTTGAAATTGGTTTTTCTGGAAGTTGCGGTGCTACGGGAAGTTAGCACCTCATATTTTCAAACTGCCTTTTTGTTAACTAATTCGACAGAACTATTGGTATAACCTATCAGGAACTGTAGAACTATTGTGGGTGCCAATGGAACTATCGCTAAAACTTGCGGTGCTACAAAATGAGGTGCCAACTTCACACCGGCGGACTACACGGACATTATTATTTTGATTATTTTTGGTATTCATTGAATTATCCAGAACGTGCAACTGCCATGTTGAACGATTCAATTGTTGTGTGAAATGTTTCGATTTTCACAAATTCATATAAAATTTTTCATTTTTCACTGATTCACAGAAGTCTTTCACTTTTTATTAGTTCACGCTAGGGAAAAGATTCATGATCGCTGCCCCGAGCAGCTGCAACACTTTTCGAATCATCTATGTCGGCGCGCATTTACTCCTCAGATTTCTGTCATTAATAACTCGATAATTATTGCGAATCTCGCAAAATGGTATGGGACTTTTTTATCTGTCTCAATCTACCCTTACACTTCGGGTTGGCAGCTAATTACCGGACACTTCGTATGATCTTCATGATATTAATCATACACAATGTCAATTCTTTTTTTTTGCACATGTTAACATGTTAATTCATGTTATAAACCCGTAACAATGTGCGAGACCGTGCTTGTCAAGTACGCTATTATGGTTATAGCACGGACATAAACCGCCTAAAAATGGATGCACGGACTGCCACCACATACAGTTTTTACAGATTTTACCGCCGAAACCTGAAAGTGAATGTAGCATCGTAGTTCCGCTCTCAAAATAGATGCAGATGGCGCCCTTTCCCAGTGCGGATAGTCGGTGTCGTCGAAAACACCATGTTAGCCTCTCTTAAGTGCGCCTAGCGGACGTAGTTTAGGCGCATTTTGGTCAGATGGCGTATCTAAAATGCGCCTAGCCGTATCCCCCGAAATACGGCCGGTGGCTGCTCTCATTCTTCTCTCTGCTTCCGCGTAACTGAAGCGGTAAGATATTTTAAGATTTTTTATCGGATTACATGTGTACTAATTTCTATATTTCTAATAACAACTGTTTTCAATATTTTTAGTCTAGTCTAACTTTCTCCAGAAAAGAAACAAGATCGTATCAAAATGCCAGAAACGGAAGAAGAGATGGGTATGTCAGTTCGTCTAACGAACGACGATTTCCGAAAACTCCTGATGACACCAAGGGCATCGGTGCCATCAGCTACTCCAGCATCTGTACCAGGTACAGCACGAGATGCCAGTGCAAAGACTGCCCAAACTCCTACAGTTAGTGGAGGCAGCCGTGCTGAATTGCGTAGAAAAAAGAAGAGCTTCTACGCAAAGTTGAAAAAACAGGAAGAGGATAAGATGGCAGAGCTAGCAGAGAAGTATAGGGACCGAGCAAGAGAACGCAGAGATGGCACCAACCAGGATTATCAAGCCGAAGATCCTATGAACAGTGCTAGTGCTTACAGAGCCGTTGCACCAGATTTAAAATCTGGCATGGATGCTGCAGAGCGTAGGAGACAAATGATCCAGCAGTCTAAGTTCTTAGGTGGTGACATGGAACATACTCATTTGGTCAAGGGTTTGGATTATGCTCTTCTACAAAAGGTATATTCGTTTGTTGTACATGTCTTTATTACGATTATTACACAACCTTCAAAAACTTCAAAATCATCGAGTTAACAAAAGTTAGGGTACTATTGTAATAGCATATTCTTTGAATTAAATAGAGTGAAGATATTTAGTGTCACTTTCTTTTCAACAAATAGTTACTAAGATATCTTAAGCCAAATATTGAAAGTTATCAAGTTTTTCTTAAATATCTTAAAAAATATTAGGTAAATAAAAAAATGTTTCAGACAAAAGACAAAAGTTGTTCAAATTGGTAGAAAAGATGATATAATAAAAAATAGGAATTTCCATTTTAAAGAGTTCAAAGTAATCTTCCTGTAATCTTTATGACACTGTTTAAGGTCATATTAGTATTACTATGTGATGCATCACTTGAAATCCTACCACTTCTATATTTAACATTTTTTTCTATCTTGCAAATTTTCAAAATTACTTTAGAGTCCGATCTTTTTTTCCTTCCCTGTATAGTTCTTTATCATTATTGTTTCTTATTTTTCAAAGTAGCTTTTTTTTAAAGTAATTTGTAATTATTATTATGTAACTCAAGAAATGATCAGTCTCATTATAATTTCTATTACTTTCTACACCTCAAAGATAGAAGACTTTCTAAGATTTGCTGTTACCAATTTTATCTTCATATATTCTAAATATATGCACAGTAATACAATAAAGGTAAGAATTATATAGTTGTTACCATTACCAATCCATAAAAAATTTAATTGCATTACAGTTACCGTTATTAACGAAAAAAAATAACGTTACTAAATAATTATTGAAAAAAGTAACTTTTGAAGGTAACAACTGTACAAGTAACACGTTATTACCTAACCCAATACTATTCCATAGGTACGCAGCGAGATTGAGGCCAAGGAACACGAGCAAGAGCAGGAAATGGAAAAGCTGGTAAAGCCCAAAGAGAAGGTAAAGAAAGAACCGGAGAAGAAAGATGACGAGATGCAATTTAAGACAAAACTCGGCCGGACAGTCTACAAAACCGTTATGACTATGAAGTCTAAACAGATCGAAAGGAATGAACTATTCACACCGGGTCGTATGGCGTACGTGATTGAATTGGATGATGAGAATGCCGATGTCGATATACCGACAACCTTAATCAGGAGCAAGGCAGATGTACCGACCATCGATAACACACCTACTCTTACGACCAACGACATTGTCATCAATAAGCTGGCGCAAATTTTGTCATATCTACGTCAAGGTAGTCGCCACAGCAAGAAAGGCAAGAAGCCGAAAGACAATGCGCCACGATCGACCGCACGCGGTGACGAGTTGAATGACATGGACATACAACCGCGACCATCACAGCCGGATGACAGCATCTACGGCGATATCGGCGATTACGTGCCGACCGTGACCAGCAAGAAAGATAGCACACAACTACGCGAGAAGAAGAAGGGCTCTTCGTACTTCGACAAGCCGCTCGAGCCGAACTTGGACACCGATGACAAGGCAAATGCGCCACAATTGCCACAGAGCAATGCTTTACCGCAACAGAATGGCAATGCTACGGCGGCGGACGGCAACGCGCCGAAGAAGGGTGCGTTGTTGAACAAACTAGCTGCTGAACCGGAAGGTTACGCCGAGTGTTATCCTGGATTAGACGAAATGCAGGACGCCATCGATGATTCCGACGATGAGGTAGATTATACAAAAATGGATCTGGGCAATAAGAAGGGCCCGATCGGTCGTTGGGATTTTGATACGCCCGAGGAGTACAGCGAATACATGAATAATAAGGAAGCGCTACCTAAGGCAGCCTTTCAATACGGCGTAAAAATGGCCGATGGTAGACGTACTAGAAAGTACAATAAGGAGAAGAACGAGAAGGCCGAGCTCGATCGAGAGTGGCAGAAGATTCAAAATATTATGAATAAGAGAAAACCGTCAGCAGCGGCCGATAGTGCGCCCGAATTCAAAGTACCGCGGTATTGAACTATCAACTTTGTTATATTTGTTGTATATTTTGTTTTTGACTTTGTATCGCGTAGCCGAAGATTTTGGAAGTTTACGATATTTACTATCATTCTTAACTACAGCTAAACTCCGACATCATAAGTAAGAACAAATTACTTTGTAAAGTAATTACAATCTAAAAATTTATTTATAAACTTGTAAGTCTTGCGATTTAATTTTATTGTTGTAAATACGTAGAACGACTGTTTCCACATAGATTCTCCTTTATAGCTTTTTACAAGTAACTTTTTACAGATAGCATGTAAATTGTAATTAAATTACAACAGAATAAGTACGCAGAAGGTTAGGTTAGGTTAGGTTAGTTCAATTAGTTAAGTATTAAATTGTGTATATGTATGTATTAATTATATAGAGAGTGACAGCGCAGTCTGAATAATGTAAGCAAGACAGTTGTATATGTTGTATTATAAACGGGATCAAGAAATATAAATAAAAAATGAAAAAAAGAATGAAAATAAAATTGTAACAATTTATTCTGTCAAATATTCTCTCTAGATAGCATCAAACATATGTAAAACTGTTTATATATATTAATCAGTGACCTCAACAGTCTGGTCGGCTAGAGTTCCTGGAGGGGGCGGAATGGAAACTCTTCTTACCCCCTGGGCTGGAGAGTGAAAACTCGAACAGGCGATCCGGGTTTCCAACTCACCTTCCTACAGAGGGAATAGCGAGGTGGCGAAGGCTCATCCCGTCACACAAACAAGGACGGCACCCTGTCTGGTTGAGGAACGGCGGTCAAGGCTTCGGCTTCCCCTTCTCCTGACCACTATAGACAGGGTATAAGAGAAAAGAGCGACGGTTAAGGACTCAGAACCTCTCCTTCTTTTCTCTTAGGGACAGACGGCGTCCTAGCGTCAGGACAAGAAGTCCGGAAGTTTGAAGGCACCCGGGCCTCTACAAAATTCCTTCGTCATGCTACCCGGACAAGTTTCAATCAATAGCAGTCCAGCATAATCCTAGACCCTTTCCAGGGGTTTGGAGTATCTATGACGGATTTCTTCCTCGTAAGAAAAGAAAAAGACATCAACAGTCAGGTAGTATGTTGTACAACTATCGGAAAGATTCAAAAGTAATTAGAGGACACTAATAATTGATTCTATGATTAGTTTTCATTATTATAAATAAAATCATGCGCTTTTGTATATCTTGTTTTGGATAAATCTGTTGAAAGTCTACGAATAGAATCTATTTTTTTAATTGAAATCTCGGTAAATATTTGGAAATACTGCAACAAAAGAAGCATGATATTTTTGTAATAATTAACAAAATAAGCCATAACAATATATATTTTTTTTCGATTATTAATAACTTAATAACTATTGCAATAATAATTTTAATAATTAATTAATAATTAATAATTTTTGCAAAATGGTATTTGACTTTTCTTCTCAGTTTGATCTAATTAATCTTCACAATTTTTCGTTTCCAAAAGATCTTGGATACCCTGTATATATATATATATATATAATATTTCTAAACATTTGTCGGTGTCTTTAATTGTTTTGTTGCGTTATCGTGTTATCAGAATATCATAAGTGCATATGATACATGTAAAGCGCAGAGTAAGTGCGTGTAAAGCGCAGGGTAAAGATTATCACCTCAGCGTACATAATAAACTAAAACCAACGCAAACCAGTTTGAAGTCGTTAGTATAAACAGTTTAATCAGTAAATTTTTTTCGGGGCCTATCACCCATTGATATTGAGGCATTTTGACTGGATTAAACTAGTTACAGCTTCTGTTCATAATGTTTGAAAAATCATTGGCATTACGGAAGCAGGCGATACATTTACAGTAGATTTCTCACGTTTTAATATATTTTAAATAAAAGATAATGGAAACACACACACACATAATGTGATATGTATAACAAAATGCTATATGTAGGTATTCGCAAATCAAAAAATATCTTGCGTACCGATTAAAATATATTACAATATATAAAAAGATAAGTAATGCGAACATTAACTGAATAATTATTTAGTAAAAAAATTATTTAAGTAACTATTCAATTGAACGAATTGTCATTCAAATAAATACGTAGTCGTCAATCGTGAATAAATTCTAAATAACATTTCATGTTCGCTGCTTAAAACAAACAGTTCTAATAATCGGGAATGTAACAACGCAAGACCAAGATTCTTTAATTTTTATGCGGATCTACAATATTCACTTCAATTTTATATCATTAATTGAAAGTTAAAATATCTAAAATTTTGTTATTTTGACACATAAAAGATGCAAAAGCCTTTAAATTATTTTAAGCTTAAGAAAATCTTTAAGCTACTCGAATGAACCAATACTCTGTAAATACAAAGTAAAAAATGATTGTTAAACTTTTCTGACTCAATTACCTAGGCATGATTATTGTCTAAATAAATTTATTAAATAACTATTTCTCATATTCAATATAAAATTAATTTTTTAAGTATCTAGCAATATTGAATCTGCACAATTGTCAAATCTGATAATTTTCAGATTGTAATTGACCGGCTGATACAAATTTGTTATAACGCACGATGGTATGTACAAACCAACACGAATGGCTAATACGAATAAAGAGATCGTATTATAATAATAATAAAAATATTTAAATTAAATAAAAATATTTAAACAAGAAACAAGAATGAGAAACATTCGAGATGTCTGGATGTAGAGATACATTCAGCAAAAATTTTATCTTATTTTTATTTTATTATACAAATAACATTTAAGCTTCCGTTATATTCAACAATGAATGAATCCGATGAGACTTATTTGTCCAACGATAACGAAAATACGTGATAACACCCAACTAACTCATTCTTGCGCCAGTTATCACTTACACTATATAAACGGAACCGCTTTTACTTTTTCAGTCGCTAGAGCCGATCCCGATTGGTATGTGAATGCACTCGCAGACTCGTTTTACCACAATTCAATGCAATCGCCCAGCCTCCGATCAGTAAAGAAAGTGAAGTTGAGACGTGAACCTCGTATATAGTACACCTCTATCTTCTACTCATGCTGATATTCAGGAACTTCATTTGGAGGCGTAACTTCGTCCGAAACGTTGTAAGTAACTAGAATAATAGAAATGTACATATATATATATATACTATGCAAATTAGAAAAATATCTCAACTATATAAAAACTGCTTCGAAACTGCTTCGAAACGAATATAAATGATGTTACTCTATAAGACAACAAACTCTTAAGAACATAATTATTCTTGTATCTATGAAAAGAATACCTATGAAAAAAATACCAAAAGATATTTAAGCGGTTTCTACATATACAAAAAATGAAAGTAAAGTTGATTAAAATCGCTTAGTAATTATTGTATTCTATATTTTTTCGAGTAAAATAGAAATTTTCTTATAAATATTTTATAAAAATTGTTTTGCATAGAATATCGTGTTTTATCAAATTCATCTTAATAGTTTTAGTAGTTTTAATAAATTTTAATAATTAGTAACAAAATATGTTGTTAATTTTATTAACAAATGCATGCTCTAACATCTAAGTGAAAGGCGGAAAAATTTACGAAAAAATTTACTTTACAAGATATACAAATAGCAGTAATTATACTAATATTCCTGCTAACAGCAAGTAATTTTATAAACTAATTTACCTTGTAAATAATAAATAAGCTTTATAAATAAGCTTTATAATTGTACATTTACAGCTTGTTCAACATTGCTACTAGTATAACCCACAACAGAATAAATTTGATACAGGTATGTGGATCTCGGTAGATACAACTTAATTAATATATTAATATACTATGTACTAATTTAATTACATAAAAAAGGGTTGAAATGAACCTGCAATTAGATTTTGGTGGGCGAACCATTTATGTTTGACGATAAAGGGGTTTGACGATAATTGTTTATATTAAATATATTTGTCTAACGGAGATATTAGTAAACATCTCTCTCTTGACGCCAGTGAACTCTGCCCAAGCTGGAATGTAAGCACGGCTATTATTCTCAAATCACATGCCTCAATCTCCGAAAGGGAAAAAGTATAATATATAGACGTACATCTGTCTCTTCCTGGCGTATTATATTTTGACTTGGCTATATAGTGCAAAACAAGGACTATTCCAATCGGCAGACTAGACTCAGGCGTCTTCCAATTAGGAATAGATTGCTTAGTGTCCCTCTTAAGCCCGTATCAGACTGCGAATTGAAGATTACAATCAGACCGATGAAATAAAGCAGAATCAAGATTTAGTTTACTTCATTGGTCCGATTGTAATCATCAATATTCTGTCTGATATTGGTTAGGTTTAATTGGGGTAGACTTCAACCAGAATTATTACTTATAAAACTGTGCTCCGTGAGTGACAATTGCGTGTATGAGCATATCTTTCGTTCACATTGTTCTATAGAATTTTTCTATGTTCTCAATGGCTTTCAACCGATTTTTGTTCCTGGTAAGTCTTTGAGGGAGAGCGGGTATGTTATTTTGTACCTTCTTAAATTTGATTAAACAGTCAATCAGATACAAATAGTCAATCTTTCTGACAGAAAGCGTTGTTTTGAGAATCGAAAGTCAACAGCTTATAAAGTCCCAGGTAGCAGAAATGGTGTCTTAAAGATATCTTTGAAATGTTAAAAAGATATCCTATTTCTTCAGACAGCTTTTAGACGTTTTCTTTTCTTAGGCGTCTTTGAGACATCTTTTAAAAGTTTCTGCCTCGGACCTTACAAGCTGTTGAATTTTGTCGTCAAATTATGTCGCTACTTCTTTAATTAATATTTCAATAATTACTGTGATAATTTGCAAAATAGTAGAAGTTTCTACTCAATTTAATTAAATTTGTACGTACCATCAATTAACTTCAGACTCTATAATTAATTCATATAACAATTAGTAGTGGAGTTTAATAAAATAGACATTTCATATTTTAATTAAAATTTTAATATAATTTTTGAGAGTAAAGATATTTATAAACTAGTGAGAATCCTTTGTAATTACAGTCAAAGATGACGCAACTCAAAGTGGCCATCATCGGACAAAGTCCTTTCGCGGCGGAAGTTTATAAACTTCTGCGTAAAAATGGACATCGAGTCACGGGAGTGTTTACGATCCCGGATAAAGGGAATCGTGAAGATCCTTTAGGTACGGATATAATGCTGCTACCAAAATAAAAAGCTTTATACGTATATAAACACAAAACGAAGATACTGTTTGTACCTCTTTCGGATTTACATTTGCTTCGTGGTCACTTGTTTAAATTGCAGCAATTACTGCCAAAGCTGACAAGACGCCGGTTTTCAAAATCAAAGCTTGGAGAAACAAAGGTGTGCTCTTGTCCGAGGTCCTGGAGCTATATAAGAGCATCGAGGTGGATCTCAATGTTCTCCCTTTCTGCACCCAATTCATACCCATGGAAGTCATTAATCATCCTCGCCATCGCAGTATATGCTATCATCCGTCCTTACTACCAAGGCATAGAGGAGCAAGTGCCATAAGTTGGTGAGTTTCTGCATCGATGTTGATCACTTTGCATTAACGTAAATTAATAGCTGCGATTTTCGCACAGCAGAGGAATCTTTAAATCTCTCACTTGTTCTCCCTCTTTTTTATCAGCTCTGTAGCTTCGTCGCATGTCACATATTAGCATGTATTAGTTGTGACACAAGTTAGTTGACTGCATTATTACGTTTCGTAATATCGCCAGATATCCCCGCGCGTGGCACAGTAACCGGTTTACTGCGGTTTCCGTGCTCCAGATATTGTGGAGTGAAACTACTCTCGCGCTGAAAATATGCCGACGATGGTAACCATAATGTAACATGTTATGACCGATCACGAGCCCATCGTATGATTCCTTTCGATGATTCAGCCGTCCGGATATACTGTTATCAAGTTTTATTTCCGACCTATCAATTGATATTATTTTATATATATACTGTCTTAACATAAATCTCGTATATTACGTAAATTTTTCTTGCTTACCTGCACCTAAGGAAAAATATCTATTTCTAAAGATTGCAGATATGATTTATCTATATTACCGAAACTGGAGACCACTTTCATTTCCAAAAAAGTTAACTTCTCGACGTATGTCGATTAAATATTCCTATCTACTTTTATGAGTATTACATGGCTATAAAATTTTAGATGTTTTCTTTATTCAACGCCTTCTATCAATTAAAACGGTAATGTCTTGTTGACAGATTTCATTTAAGAAAGAATCAAGCAAGTCAGTAAAAGCCAATGCAAAATATATGAGTTAAGAACGTTTAATTAATTATTGTAGCTTAATCAAATGTTAAACATTGGACTCCTTAAGAGTCATGTTTCGGCTATGACCCATACAGCACAGACGGTTGCAGCAACATTACTGCAACGTTGCACTTCGTGAAGTATTAGATATTTAGACTGCGTTCAGGGAGCGCGCTATCAGCACCAAAGCAGCATTCTATCTTTATCATTCATGTAGAGCAAAAATTGAATGCGCGTTGATAGCGTTGATAGCTCGTTCCCTGAACGCAGTCTCATATGGCATTTAGCACAATCGCTCATTGAGTGCTTATATTCGTTTCTAATATGGTCGATTAAATCTTAATTTGAGTTAAAATTCTCTGTAGACAAAGATTGAAACCCAGAGTAAAGTTTAATCAACATTGGCCACGTTCAGCAGAAAAGTTCTACTTACTCAGTACTCAGTGATTATCATCTATGATTCGAGTATTTTTTCAGATTTTTGACAAACTCAAAGGAGAACGAACCAATCAGAAGCGATAATCACTAACTTAGTAAGTAGCTCTTTGCTGAACGCGGCCAGTGATAGAAACAGGATATCAGTGAGCGCTTAATTAGCACCCCAGTCAATTTACTAGATGCAAAAGCTCCCTAACTGCTCACAGTGAGCGCTCACCATATTCGTAAGTATAATTGAAATTACTCACTCCGTTAACTCGGCTCATTCTACATTAATCGCAATCGTAAGTTGCAAGAAACTTAATAATTGCAGTCTTCAACAAAGACGATCTCTGCTTCAGGACCATTGACATTATAAGAAGTATCTAAGAAGCATTTACCAATAGCTGTAAAATTATCTGTAATTACAGCTACTAGTAAGTGCCTGATGATGTTAACAGTCCTGAGGCGGGAAATGCGACTATCAGATCTATGGCCAACAGGTGTACAGGTGCAATGAAAGAAAGGTAAAAGGAAGTAAGTGGGAGAAATATTCAGGTGGGATCGATAATGGCATTTCGAGGATACAGAACTTTGATGTTATCGAGGAACGCAGAATGTTGAATCCATGTCGGATACTTCGTAGATACATGTCCATCTACGAGACTCACGTGAGTCATATGGATTCGACGTGGATACAACGTACTTGTTTTTGTCGGGAAGTTACTGCAATGCTTCCTCAATCATCCATCTCGACGCGCACTCACTCCTTAGGTTTTTCTACCATATGCTTAAAAAATATAATATAATTGTATGGTAAAGAGAATATTATATTTTTAGATTACATCGAGATACATTTTATTTTATAGTGGAACTAGTAAGCCAATGCTAGAGAAAAATGGGATGTCAGACGGATGTATAATTCTTATGGGAAAACAAGTATCATTTGCTCTTTGAGTTATGGCTACACCAAATTTCTTACCTCTTAATACTTTTTCTGCATTTTTTTCTGATATTATTATTTCATAGGAAATATTAGTTTCGACATCAAACAAAGTTACTGTTTAATTCTTTGACATATTGCTTACAATCATCATATCTTTCGTCATATTGTACTGCGACTGCTACAGGCCTTTAACCACAGCAACCAAAATAGAAAACAACGACAAAATTGATAACGTCATCACTTTTTCACAGTGTTATCGCAGCGTGCTATAGTAAATGCTATAGTAAGTTGGAGAACGGGTTTTATAGCGCTGCCACGGGTTTTGCTGACAGTGAATTGCGGGACGCAGCCTGTGAGTGAAGACAAACGCCCCAGCAAACACAATATTACATGTAATGTGCATGTTAGGTGTAATTTCCTATTCAACAATATAACTGTTATATAACACATGTGTTATATAACAGTTATATTGTTGAGTAGGAAATTACAACTAACATGCACGTTACATGTAATACTATGTTTGCTGGGGTGTTTTAACGTGCTCGGAGTAGACAAAAAATACTTTTGTTTATATTTTATCGTTAAACTTTTATATGAGTCAAGATTTGTAAAAATGTTATACGTTATTTTATCGTATATTACCATATATTATCGTAGTTTGAGATAATGTCAGTATTTTTATCTTACCATTTTTACTTTTCCTGCAAAACTATCTCAAAGGGTAAATTTTTTGTTAACTCGTGGCCGTTGATGTGATTCTGATAACAACAAAACTACGCATAATTTTTAATAGTTGGGACTATGTACACGTTATCCCCATTTTTACTTTACTTCATTTTTATTTTGCTTTAACATATGTATATCTGATTTTCTCCTCTTATCGTAAAATGGCGTTAGGAATTCATTTTAACAGGTATCTGAAGCTAATATTGAGTAAAAGAAAAAGAGGGAGAGAGAGGAGGGGAGGGGAAGAGTCAGTTCCCTCGACGAGTGGCTCAACTGTTTCTTCTTTGTCCATAAAAATTTCTATCATTCTAATTCTAACTTTTTTCTCAAGGACAAGATATGAAATATTGAATATGCAATTTTATATCTTTAATAAATATGTTCATGAAATACGCGTTGATTGAACGAAAAAGAATAGTGAAAAATTTGTTTGTTCAGAGTATCTGACAAATAAGCAAGATTATGACAAAATATTACCTATAGCCTCTATTACAATTAACAGTACAAAATATCAAAGTCCGACTAGATAGTGATTGTTTTTAATTATGTAAATGTTTGAGCTGTTAAATTTTGGTTATTATTCATAAGAATTTAGTTTACGAATGATTGATTTCAAAATGATTATTCTTAGTTAATTTAAATGTTTAAGTTCTATTTTTGTTATTTTTTGTTGTGAAAATTAATGAAAACCATATGAAGACATAGATGTTCGGTTGTTCGGTTGTTATTTTTCTTTGATTTTGTTCAAAAAGCTCAATTAAAACATTAAATGTGATTTTAATTTTGTAGGCCTTCTAGTAAAACGTGCTTCAACTTTCCCGGACTTCCTCCGCTATTCAATATTTAACATTTAATTAAATTATAATAATTATTTAATAAAATACATACACAAATAATACGTATTTCATTATTATTATCTTATTTAATTCTTTCTTGATTATAATATTAAGGTATATATACAAACAAATACAAACGTTTGTATTAACCTTTTGCGGACAAAACGCGTGAGCGTATCGTCTAGACGAGATTGCTTGGGAGTGTTTGATGGGAAGGTAATATACGCTTTTGAAGATTCAGTATTATAACACTGATAAATTTTGTCGTAGGTTTTACTCAATGGAAAGGATATTCATTAATGACTTTTTAATGACTTTCAACTTTAGTTCGTCATTTAGTTTAACTTTAGTTTATTCATTAATAACTTTTGACTTTCTAATTTGTTGTTTTAAAATTCTGATACAGTATGATATTTTCCAAAACAGTTACTTATATGTAGAAATGGTTTTTCGAATATATATTACAATAATAACGGGATTGTCTCCTTCTTTCATTAATTTTTCTGTTTAAGCATATAATACAGCCTTTGCATTTTTCATAATTATCATGACGAATGATATGTAAATGACCATTTAATCTTTCTGTCCTGCTAGAGGTTAATGGTTCATTATCATCGTTTTACATCAATCGCGAAAGCGTTCAGTGTGAACTGCTATGTCTGTAGTAGATTACAAACACAATCGTCCACAAACACAAACACGTCCGCAATCAAATCTAAACGCAGACATATTTCCAGGACGATATGCTTGGGCTGTTGTCCGCAGACATGCGTCCGCAAAGGGTTAATCTTTGGGTTACTTCCACGTTATATAATAATTGTATTTAGCATTTTCTGGAACATATTTTTTTTATTACACCTTTGAGGGAGTTTTGGCAATTTCATTGATTTTGGATTGTGTTAATTTAATCCTTAGGACTCTGATCCAAGGAGACAACACCGCCGGATTCTCGATCTTCTGGGCGGATGACGGTCTAGACACCGGGCCGGTTCTGTTACAGAAATCCTGCAGAGTGAAACCGGATGACACAGTGGATAGTTTGTATAACAACTTTCTCTATCCGGAAGGTATCACGGCGATGGGTGAGGCTGTGAATCTCGTGGCTAAAGGTATCGCTCCCATAATACCACAATCCAAGGATGGCGCAACATATGATCCGATGTTGAACAAGAAGGAGGACCAACGAGTCGACTGGACCAAACCGGCAGAGGAGATACACAACTTCATTCGTGGTCTAGATAGTACACCAGGTGCCTGGACGACGATAAATGACGAAGAGGTTCGTCTTTTCGGGTCGTCCTTGTGGAATACCGATTTACCACCAAACGTAACGAACAAAGTTGACCTTGCCGAGCAAAAAGGGAGCATTCATCAGGATGGTTTACTGATCGAAACTGTCGATGGACGATTCATTAATGTGGAAAGAATCAGGATCGGTACCAAGACTATTCACGCCAGTAAATATGGGCAAGTCGATAGTGACAACACCATTGTCGACTTTACCGAAGAAGAGTTAAAGACTACTAACGATTTGCGCCGGATTTGGGAAAATATACTTAAAATAGATATCGAAGACGACACGGATTTCTTCGCTTCTGGTGAGTCTGAAGTTTACTTGTGAGAAAGTTATATTGTGTTGTATGTTTTAATTTAAATAAATAGGTATATGTTGCGTGTTTCTTTCAATTAAATTTAAATATGGATCACTAGTTGCGGATTGAATTATTCTAGTAAAAACATTGTTGTATTTAACAACGAATTAAAGATAAATTAATAAAATATTTATCATTAAAATACCCAGCAAATACGATGTAACATATTTGCTAGCAAACAATTTTCTACTCAGCAATATAACTGTTATATAACGCGTGCGTTATATAGGATGAAGCATTTAAAACAGATCACTTGAATAACTTTGCAATAAATATGCAAGATAAAAAAATGTTAAGTACAAAAGTTGTAAGGTTGTAGGGTTAGTGACGCATTACATAATAATACCACTATGACCTTGAACAGCGTCATCAAGGTTATAGAAAAATCATCTTGAATTTTTTAAATGAAACCCTCATTTTTAATTATATCATCATTTTTATCAATTAATTTGAACCATTTTTGTATGAGACACTTTTAATTTGCCTAACTCTTTTTAGATATTTAAGGAGAACTTGGTGACTTTTCAATATTTTCGATAGCTTACGATATCTCGGTAACTCATTCATCGGAAGAAAAAGTGGGGTGCTAGATTTTCTTATTTTATTTAGTCTTAAGAATATATACTGTTATAATAATGCCCTTTTATTAACATTTTGTTAACAATTTTTATCAGCATGATGATTTTGAAATTTCTGAAGGTCATCAAGCTAATAAAAGTTAAGGCACTGTTGTAACAGCATACTTTTGAGACCAAATAAATTAAAAAAGTCTAGTACTACTTTTTCTTCTGACAAATAGTTACCGAGATATCGTAAACTAAATATTGGAAAAATTACCAAGTTTTAAGTATTTAAACATTTAAGGAAAACTTGGTAATTTTTCCAATATTTAGTTTACGATATCTCGGTAACTATTTGTCAGAAGAAAAAGTGGTAATAGACTTTTTTAATTTATTTGGTCTCAAAAGTATGCTGTTACAACAGTGCCTTAACTTTTATTATTAGCTTATTTAAAAGGATATTAGGCATATAAAAAAATATTTCAGACAAAAGTTGTTCGAATTAATTAGTAGAAAAAAATAATATGATAAAAAATGAGGGTTTCCCTTTAAAAAATTCAAAGTGATCTTTTTGAATAGGAAATTACAATTAATAGTTATGTTACATATAACATTCTGTTTATTTGGTAGCTTTTTGCATGCACTATTTACTTCTAACGAGGATATATATTTCTGTCTCAGGTGGTGGTAGCATGGATGTAGTGCGTTTAATTGAGGAAGTTAAAAACAATTTTAAAGTCACTCTGCAGAATATTAACGTGTTCATGGCACCAACCTTCATGGATTTTGCTAAGACAGTCGTACTCGTCTCTCGAGGAAATGTAGCTTTGAAGGAAATAAAGTACGACGTGGTAGAAATACAAGCAAACAACATGACCTTACGATTCCCGAAACAACTTTTCATCGATGGCGAGTTCGTCAATGGCCATGGCAAACCCATCGATACTATAAATCCTAACGATGAAAGTGTTATCTGTTCAGTGGAAAGTGGGAACAGTGAAGATGTTGACCGAGCTGTCAGAGCCGCCAAGGAAGCCTTCGAAAATGGCGAGTGGGGTAAAATTAGTGCCAGGGAACGTGGTACATTATTATTCAAGTAAGACAATTAGTTTACTATCTTAATAACTAAATGCTAGTAGAATCCCGACTGTATAGGGCTAGCAAAACTAATCATGAGTGTTCAGCAAATTTTTATCGTTGCGTCGTCATTAAGCTTGTTTAATACTAGCAAAATTTGTTCACATAATATAACCGCAAAAACGCGGCAGCAATTATGCACGACATCGACTTTTGATTTTGGTATTATATTTATACAAGATTATTTGTTCTTCATTTATCTCTCCTCATGTTCATTCTCCGTCTTCTAGATTAGCGGACCTGATGGAGCAACATAAGGAAGAATTAGCTACTTTAGAAAGCTTGGACTCTGGAGCTGTTTACACTCTTGCCTTGAAAACTCATGTTGGAATGTCCATTGAAACCTGGCGATATTTTGCTGGCTGGTGTGACAAGATTCAAGGGAGTACCATACCTATTTCGCACGCTCGTCCAAATCGTAATCTCACTTTCACAGGACGGGAACCGATTGGTGTCTGTGGTATAATCACTCCTTGGAACTACCCACTGATGATGCTCTCGTGGAAAATGGCAGCTTGTTTGGCAGCTGGTAACACTGTGGTAATGAAACCCGCTCAAGTTTCCCCATTGACTGCTTTGAAATTCGCCGAGCTTTCCGCACTCGCAGGCATCCCTCGCGGTGTCATCAATATTGTTTGCGGATACGGAACTGATGTCGGAACTGCTATTGTAGAGCATCCGTTAGTTAGAAAACTGGGCTTCACCGGTTCCACTATGATCGGTCAGACTATCATGAAATCTTGCAGTAATAATTTAAAGAAAGTGTCCTTAGAGCTCGGTGGAAAGAGTCCTTTAGTGATCTTTGGCGATGCCGACATGCAGCAAGCAGTTAGAATCGGCATGAATAGCGTGTTCTTCAATAAAGGCGAGAATTGCATAGCTGCTGGACGACTCTTCGTCGAAGAGACTATACATGACGAGTTTGTAGGACGAGTGCTCGATGAGGTAAAGAAGATACGCATCGGTAATCCCTTAGATAGAAGTACAGCTCACGGACCGCAGAATCACAAGGCTCATTTGGAGAAACTTGTAATGTTTGTGGATAGAGGAGAGAGTGAAGGTGCTAACTTGATCTATGGCGGTAAGAGATTAGACCGTCCGGGCTGGTACTTTGAACCAACTATCTTTACAAATGTGAAGGATTCCATGTACATCGCCAAAGAAGAGTCTTTTGGCCCAATCATGTTGATCTCCAAATTTAGTCGGAATAACATGGATGAACTGATCGCCAGGGTGAATAACACGGAATATGGCTTAGCTTCAGGTATCCTCACTAAAGACATCGACAAAGCCCTCAAGTTCGCGGAGAAAGTCGAAGCTGGTACTGTGTTTATTAATACATATAACAAGACAGACGTAGCAGCTCCCTTCGGCGGCTTCAAGATGTCGGGATTTGGAAAAGACTTGGGACAAGAGGCCTTGAATGAGTATCTGAAAACGAAGACTGTCACTATCGAATATTAATAATGATAAAATTTTATGATCTTGATAGTTGTTATTGTTTTAGTTTAAGTAATATGTAAAAAATAATTTTCATTAAAAATAAAAGCAAAATTAAAAATATCATGTTCAATAACAAAAGAGAAATATCAGAATATTCTGCCAATTGAAGGTTAAAAGTTATGTGAATGTTAACATTTAAATGTTAAATATATTTTATCTAAGAATAAGAATTTTAGAGGGAAGATAATTTTTCTTCCTCCTTCCCTCTTTCTCTCACACACACACACACATACTGCATGCACGCACACATGCACACACGCGGGCGCGCGCGCGCACACATACATACACATATACAAGGTCACATTACTGTGTTTGCTACAAATGTATTTTTATAATGTTTACGAAACATTTTAATTCATATTTACTGACGGACATTGAAAACAACTAACAACAGTCGACATATAATATCGATATAATATAAAATTGTGTTGTTTCAACGAAATAAGTCTAAATTAAATAGAAATATTACATTTGGAGAGATCTTTTCTTCTGTACAAATCCTGTGCTATAATGTAATCTGTACTGTAAATATGAAAATTGGAAATATTCTAGACATAACTATTTTTGATGTGACTATTTAATATATTAAAGCTACTCCATTGATTGTGACACGTAAAAAAAGATTCTGTAACATCGAAAATTATTTCTCGACAAATATAAGTTTATTTAATGTTAAAAATGATAATATGAAAAATATTAAAATATCTTTTGTGAATATTAAATATTGTTACACGAACATAAGATGATATAATACAAAAAATTGGAAATTATCAATCTTGCAACAAGTTTGCAGAAATATTTACCATCTTCCATGCGCTCTTATAATATTGCGATGCAATGTATATGCAATATTCTTGCAACATTTCTGTGCTGTATTGATAAATGGATTTATTTCCAAGGTTGGTAGATTACTTTCAGGAACCGATTTCAACCACGATGACAAAGCGTTATTGTATTCGTAGGCAAATACGATGCAGGTATACTTATCCGGAAGCAATTCGAATTGAGAGGAAGGAATCATGTGGAGAAAATGATGTCAAATAGTTCGATAAGACGATAACCAACCAAATAGAATTAATCCCAAGAGTCATTACTCATACACATGCTGTCGGGAAGAATACCACTCGTGGGAAAGTGTATCACAGCAGCGACGAAACGAGCGTTTTAAGGGTTAACAGAGAGAGAGAGAGAGGGACTCGTGGTGGACTCCCGCTCTCATGTGTGTTTACGGGGTAAACAGTTCTTACGGAGGAGTCCCTCCCAAAGCTCCAGATGCTGCGTAATTTTTTGTGCCGAGACAAGTGTGCTTCGTCTCTGACGCGCGTTGCGCCATATACATTCGTACCGCTGCTCGCACACTTTCTCAGCAGGCCGTGGATCGTGTGCGGCATTTTGAAGACTTTAAAGCACAAAGAGGAGAAATGGTACCGGCGCGTGTTTTCCCGCGAGTGCGAGTGCGCTACTGGACTAAAGAGGTTGGACAAACTCGATAAAACGGATCTCCAACGCTCCCCTTCGGATCGCGTCCATACGTTTGAATCTGTAATAAAAGTGTGGAATGAATTCTCCAAACGGAGAGACCACGCTGAGAGAGAGAGAGAGAGAGAGAGAGACCCATCGCTTCGTACTTCCCTGCAAGCATATCGCGCGCTGTATACCCTATGACCCCATGAGTCATCAGGCTAACCAGGAACGATCTTTCGGGTGCAACGCGCTCGACACGTGTTGCACGTACCTGAGAGACACTCGTGAAAGGACCCGCTGTGAAGACTCCTGTGTAAATGCGCACGGTTAACAGTCCCACCGACGAACAGCTGTTCCTATAAATATCCCGGTATCCCTCTTTCCCGCGGCAGAGCCCGCCGTCGTCCCTCTCACCATTCTTAATTCTCCTCGCCCCCCCCTCCCCCCCGGAGATGCATTCACCCTTCGCCGCGAAAAGGCGAAAGTCTTTACGGGAAATTTACGCAGCGTGATGTGTGTATTTCGATGTATTTCGTATATAGTATAATCGGCGGAGATTCAGTACGCCCGGCTTCTTACCGTACGTGCGGATTCTCTTGCGAGAGAGGATCCTATTTTTTTTCTTTAAAATTCACACAGAGCATTATTTCAGGATCTCTAAAGTAGCACGACTCCGGCGAATTGAATTTTAGGTGCCATCGGAGATGCAAAGTGAGACACGTCCGATCGTTGCATTTTACTTGGATACAGATAAATATATTCTCCGTGAGAACCTTTGTCATATTGCATAAACATTTGCGTTTTCTTTGCAGGATCGCTTGTTCTCGAGGTGTCAGGCCAGGCAGCGAGATAAATTCGCGCAAGAGGACCGACACTTCAGAGGTCCGATTTTAAGTGTTGCGGAGGGCCTAATTCGAAAGCACGTACGACAGGCACGACCCGATCTTGCCTGCAATTGTTCGTCGTGGACGGGGCAGGAAATGCAAATTCCAACATGTCCCCTTGCCGCAGGACAGTGCTCTTTGACCCTTCCTTGATCTTCTCTACGCCTAAATGCCCTCTACAAAGAGGCCCCATCTTCACGAAAATTTTTTCTTTATTTCAAATAAAATACACTTATTGTGAAACGTATAAGAGACCCTAACACAAATAATGCATAATAACAACAATAACAAGGATTAGTATGAGAGAAGGACCCATCAAACTGGATAAAAAGAGAAATATGAAAGCAACTTTTCGCATATTATTTCGAAATATATTTCGTAATATTTCGAATCGTACACGCGTAAAGTGTCGCTCTATAATTTTCACGTTTCAAAATACGTCTGAAGAACGTCCTAAAAAAATGTCTAAAGCAATCAGGATATCTCTTAGACGCCTGCGCGCTTTTCTTCAGCTAACCCAACACTGTAATATTTCTAATCGTATACGCGTGAAGTATCATTCTATAATCTTCACGCTTCAACCCGTGCACAGCACAGGAAGCCGCCGCGACGTTGCAACAATGTCGCAATGTTGCAGCAACGTTGCAGTAATGTTGCTGCAACGCTTTTTTGTGCTGTATGGGAAATACGTCTGAAGAACATTCTAAAAAAATATCTAAAACAATCAGGGCATCTCTTGTGCGCAGTTGCACCGACATTATTTTGGTTTTGAGTGATACTTCAATATATCTCTCTGTCTTTATCTGTTTCGTGAGAAAGAGAAAGATAGACGTATGTTGAAGCCTCACTTGAGAGCAAAATAATTCCGGTGCAATTGGACCTTGGACGCCTTTCTTCTTTCACTTAACCGAACTTTTCAGCTACACCGGAACTCTCGCTTCACCCTTCGATGCTAGCTTATGCAGTCACTTCTGTCTAAAGGCCAAAAAGTGCAATCTAGTTGAGCTAAAACGAAGCAAGAAACCCAGGAGCGAAATCCGCGCGGCATCTACCAGGGCACCACGTGTGCGCCCGCTCTCTTCGTCCGTCGCGCCGTTCTCGTTCCCTCTCCGCTCGCGCACTCCGTAAAATCCTCAGCAGTCGCCCTCGAGATTCCGCGTGTATTGCATGTCGGTTGTCGCTGCTACGCGCCGGAAAGAATTCTACCGTCAGCATTGCCGCACGCGCCGCGCGATATCGCGGCGGCATTTATCATCAAATGGAGATCTTGCGGTGGGATTTACCGCGAGTATCCGCTAGTATCAGGCCAGGCGGAAACAAATACATATCTTCCTCCTCGTGGGACGCGTGCATCACCGTACCGGATGTCGCGTATACATGGGTAAAGCCATGCGCGCTCACACGGGGCGAATACTCCGTCGGGTTTACGCGGAACAGTGCTCGGGATTTTGAGATCGAGCAGATCGAACAAGTCGAAGGTTCAAACTTCCGGCCTCTTCTGTTTCGCACGGCTGGACGGCAGGCGCGCAATTTTTTTTCCTTCGGGCCGGGGAAAAGTGAAAAGTTTCACGTGACTCGGCGACTTTTTTTGAGCGATCGTAAAATTCCTCGAACAATGAAAACACAATGAAACTTCTCACCTTTCTCACACGTCTCCGCTGCTAGACGAGAAGTTACGCGCGCGCGACCATCGTCTTGAAATTGATGTACATTGTGAAAAAGGGTACGAACGCAAGGTTGTTTTCTTCTTTCTTGTCCGCGATGAATATTATTTTCGCTGCGACTCTCTTTCTCTGTCCGGAGTAAACAAACATTCGATATTAATCGAACGGATCGCCGTTCGAATCGTTTAAATTTGTCGCTATTAAATATTTCTGCTCTCATGATTTTGCTCTAAATTCGCCATTTTGTTGACACGTGATCCAGCAACGTACGCTCATTATTTTCAAAACTCGACGCTGATACGTTCCCTTCGAGTTAATTGTGCCGCGGAACGTCCGCTGATTAAATTTCACGTTCTAGAGAAATCCGTACTTGTAGTACGAAAAGTTCCGAACTGAAAGTATCGCTGTACGTGAATGAATTAAATCAGAAAAGCGTATTTTATCGGCCGGTAAGTTGCGTAAACGAGCATTAAAAACTTGACCTCAAACCGTGTATCATCGGGATTCGTGTTGATTCGGCCTGAAGAAAATAAACTAAAACGTGCGTGGTGAGTCATCCCAACAATACTCTTCGACTGCGACTCCTCTTTTCCTCTCTATCCTTCTCACCTCTCCCCTCCCCCCCCCTCTCTCTCTGTTTCTCTCTGTTTCTCTCTCTCTCTCTCTCTCTCTCTCTCTCTCTCTCTCTCTCTCTCTCTCTCTGTCTCTGTCTCTGTTTCTCTCTTTTCCCGTTCAATTTTATTTTTCATTCCGAACATTTAATCCCCAATACCGTTTTCAATAAAAAATTGATAAATTAGTGATAGATTCGATGTTGCAACATCAGTTAATTACTTTTTGAAGTTAATTACTTTTTGGGAAAAATCTCATTTATTCGCAACTTATTAAAAAACAAGCAACATATTCAATAGTTTCGTACCCAGATGTTCTTTTTTTTATGTTTAACGTCGTTACGATGTGATATTTAATTATGAAATTTTAAGTTAAAATTATGAAAATGCGAATGCTACATAAATTTAACGCTGGCAGTATGGAAACATTTCGTTTAATTACTTTTATATTTATAATTACAATTAACAAAGAAGTCTAATTTATATCGCGTTTCGTCCCGTCCGTAAAATTAAACATTCACTTGCGCGAACAAAGTTTGCTCCTGAGTTCTCTCCTTACTTTCTACACGAAGCAAGTAACGCACAATTATATAGCAATAAGAGCTTTTTTATTAGCAAACTTGGAAAGAAGTTAGTAACCAGATAGTGAATGGTTTATTGCTATTTTTACAAAAGTTCTGAAAAGAAAAAGGGCAATCTTACACACCCAGTCTCGTGCGTACACGCAAGGTAATATTACCAAGTTCATTGCACCAAGTGCAAAATACATA